TATCAATCATTGGTGTCTCATCTTTGTTTTCCCCCTACCATCCCTTCCCTCCCATCTCCACAACTACACTCCCTTATCGCCCCTCTACCCCCCACCGCACCTAAATTGTAAAGTTCATTTTTGACATAGCATCTTATACATCTCATTATTGCTATGGGTCAACCTGTATCCCTATTTTAAAAAATTGTTTTTTCCCTTCCCCTACCCAAACTATACCAACATCAAATACAGTGAAAAGAGGGGTTATACCATGGGGAAGGGACATACAAAGCAAAAAAAAATCACATGGTACCTTATAAAAAATTTAAAACAACAGCAAGCAAGAAAAAAAAACACTAGTGTCCTTATCTTGGGGTTTATTTTGCTTATCATCATCTTATCTGAACTTTTCTGCATGTCTCAGGCATATAATAGTTATTGCAAATAAGGGAAACCATGGGACCTATGTTTCTTTGGGACTGGTTGACTTCACTTAATATATTTTTTTCCAAGTCTTTCCATTTCCTAATAAATGAGGCAATGTCATTCTTTCTGATGGAGGCATAGAATTCCATTGTGTATATATACACCACATTTTCTTGATCCATTCATGTACTGAGGGGCATCATATCTGATTCAATCTTAGCTATGGTTAATAATGCTGGAATAAACATAGTCATGCTGGTAGTTTTAATATGATCTTCTCTGTGATCATTTGGGTAAATGCCCAAAAGTGGGATTGCTGGGTCATAGGGGAGCTCTATGTGGAGTCTTTTGAGGAACCTCCATACTATTTCCAAAGTGGTTGAACAAGTTTACACTCCCAGCAACAATGCAGTAAGGTTCCCTTCTGTCCACCTCTCCTCCAGCATCTATTGTTACTAGAGTTCTTCATTATAGCCATTCTAACTGGGGTGAGGTGCTATCTCAATGTTGTTTGATTTGCATTTCTTCCATGGCTAGTCTATTGGCCATTCTTATTTCCTCTTCAGAGAAGTTTCTCTAAGTCTTTAGCCCACTTATTTATTGGGAAGTTGTTTCCTTGAGGATTTGTTGTTGGAGGATTTAGTTTTTTGAGTTCCAAGTATATTTTATATGTGAGACCCTTATCTGTTGTATGGCTAGTGAAGATCTTCTCCCAATCTGTCAGGTTTATATTGGATTTGCTAGCTATGTCCTTTGCCATGCAGAAGCTCTGCAGCTTCATGCAATCCCATTTGCCCAAACTTTCTTTGATTTGTTGTGTTTCTGGGTCTCTATTAAGAAAATTTTGGCTGGTGCCAAGGAGACCTAGGGTTTCTGGCTATTCAGTCCTGTAATGTTTTCAAAGTGTCTGCTCTGACTTTGAGGTCTTTGATCTATTTGGAGTTGATTCTGGTGCAGAGTGAAACATAAGGATCTAGCTTTAGTTTTCTACAAGTGATTAACCAATTTTGCCAGCACCATTTACTGAAGAGGCTATCTTTCTTCCACGCTATTTTTTTAGCTCCCTTATCGAAGATTAGATGGCTATAGATCTGTGGGTTTATTTCTGGGTTTTCAATTGTATTTCATTGGTCCTGAGGTCTCTTCTTGAGCGAGTAACAAGCTGTTTTGATTACTGTGGCTTTGTAGTAGAGTTTGAATTGAAATTTGGTATTGAGATTCGAGCTTCTGCATGGTTTAACCTACTGTCAAGACTTTCTATTTTGGGTTTTTTTTTGTTTTTTTTTCCTTCTAATTGGTCGGCTTTGATGGGTTCAAATTCGTTGTTGGAGCTTTGTTTTAGATCTTGTATGAACTTACTTCATTAATTTGGTGTTCACTGTTTATTCTTAAATCACTTAGTTGATTTGTTCTGCAGATTCAATGTACTTCAACAGATACAATCTATTCAACATCAAACAACTATGGATTAAAGGGCTAAGAACATCAAAGAGGGATTCAGAAAACCAGAAATTATTAGGTTTAGAGAGAATTGGGGGGGGGAATAGGATTCGAGGTTATTTAGAGAGGTAAAAGGAGAGTGAATTTAACCAAGTCCTAATATTGGAGAGGGAAATGGATTGGACAGAATGATAGGAGAGAGATTTAGAAAACAAGAAAAAAGGAAAAACAAACATTTAAATTTAAAAAATTAAACACTTAAAATTCTGTAAGTATAATGAAATGATATTGAGAGAACAAACAGGATGAGAGGAGGGGAAAGATAAAAAGGAAATGAAAAATAATAAATAAGAATTCTTAAAATTGGAATACTTGAAACTTATATAGGTATAAAGAGATAATATTAGTATTAAAGAAGTTAAGTCTAAGAGGTTATGAATTAAGTAATAAATTTCAGGATTAAGTATGTACACAATGGGGATAAGGTCTAATAATTGACAACAGGTATATATCTGGGGATGAGCACACCATCTATTAAGTCGTGCAAAAAAGAAAGACAAAGAGAAAAAAAGAAAAGAAAGAGAAGAAGAAAAGGAAAAAAAGGACCAAAAGGTCAAACGAGACTTTTTTTAAAAAAGAAAGGACACACACATGCACATATACACCTAAAATAAAAGTATAAGAAAAAAGTAATAGAAAAAAAATTTTAAAATAAAAATTTTTTGGAGGGGGATCTTGTATCTCCCCTGTGTCCATAACCAGTTTTTTGGTGGAGATTCTGGTCTGCTTGTGGTGTTTGGTTTTCCTGGGACTTGACTGGTTTCTTAAGAGTTTGTTTGAGCAGACAGACACCTCTCCCTTACCCAGGACTTTGTGACCCTCCTACTAAGCTAGTTCAGTGGGAGGGAGATCTCCTTTGAGTATCACAAATGAGGGAGATGGTTGGTTCCTCTAGTTTGAAGTTGCTGTGAAGAGTCTAGGTTCTGGGTAGGGTTGAGGCCTATCAGCAATCAGTAGCTTTTCCCTGAGGGGCTAGCTCCTGAAACACTGACAGAGCTCAGCCTGGAGCCATTCTCAGGGTTTATTTTTACTGAGTTTGAATCCTTTGTCTAGGCTGCAGTGGGGAAGGGCAGCCTCTGGCTCTGTTTACTCAGTGAACAGAGTCACTCCTCCTGGGATGGAGCTTGTGCTGCCTGGGCAGGGTGACTTCACCTAGGTGTTGCTGAGACTGGCAGGTCAGGTCAGGTTCCTGTTACCTGCTAATGACTCTAAATGTTTTCTTCAAGGACTGGGTTGGAGATACCTGCGCCGCCCGGCCTTTGTCAGTATTAAAGATGGAGATCTTCTCCAGTAATGGGGGAGGAGCTGCCTTCCCACCTTGCTCTGTGGGGAGTGATGATGTCTTGGTTCCTGGGCCATCCCTGGTCTGCGATTAGCAGGATGAATATTTCTGCTCTTTGTCAGTTCTTGCTGGTAATGAATATTATCCACTCACATGCCATGTCTGGTGCCTTTGTCCCAGACTTTCTCTGTTGGTATGGCAGCCATGGCTGCCTCCACAGCCACCACAGCCATGGCTGCTGGCAAGTGCTCCGATCTGTCTCTTTGACTGGATCTTCCTTCTCTGGCCAAACTCTCTGTACTTTGATAGAACACTTGGTGTGATTCTCTAGCTTAGGACTTTCACTGGAACACTAAAACTGCTTTCTATGTGAGAGCTTATTAGGCTTCCAGCTTCTCCTCCACCATCTTCCTCCGGACTCTGTTTCATTTTATTTTAGTACTTTTAATAAGTTTTTTATTGTGAAAATACTGTCACAGAGGGGTTACAATTATAGGAGCAAGGTAATGAGTACATTTCTTATCAGGTTCAACAGCATTTTTATATACAACCTGGTCAAGTTTGGCATCTACATATTACCTTTATATGTTATAGTCAAATTTTCATGATTCCTCTACTAGTTTGTGTCCTTTCATTCCACCAAGACAACTCTCCTTAGCATCTCTTTGAATCATGTCTAATGAACCAGCTATTATAGTCATTGGGAAAGACTTGTCATGAATATCTCAGGGTTGCTGGGATATGATTATTATTTTTTGATAACTGTTCTCAGTTATCATCATTGCCTTGTTTTTATATTTATGTTTTTTGCTAACTTTCCTTACTACAATTAATTGTTTAAAAGTAGTATATAATCTTATTCACCACAAACCTTGTTGCCTGGCTTTGATTTTGAACAACATTAAGCAATAATGGTTATATTATATTATATATTATATGTAATAGAGTATTAATATAAACACGAATTTACATATTATATATTAATCTATTATTAATATTAACACATATAATATACTATATAACATAATGATATATTGTAAGATATAATATATGTAATATATAATATGTCATTATATAGCATTTTAATAGTTATAAAATAATAAAGAATTTCTTATGTATATGAGTCAACTTTAGAAGCTACTGGTCTACTCTGCAGATCTCAAACTTGGCAGATATTGCCTGAGCACATTTCTTTATCTCTATCCCTCTGCATCCCTCTTTGTCATTATCTACCTGGTCTGTCACTTACTCATTACCTAAGTATATATACTATGTGTGGTATATGAATATTGAATATGAAATGTATATGTCAATAACATATGTATATAATATAAAAAGTTCATCACTTTAAATTTTGTTTGTACATTATAAATGCATAAAATCAATTTTAAATAAACATAAATATATGGCTACATAGTGTTAAGTATATTAACATACATGTACATGTGTTTTACATGTTGTACTGGATAATTTTCTCTGAATTCTTTGGACCAATTCAGCTAACTCAATACATCAAATGATTGGTTATAAAAATTAATTTATTCTTCAGTGATGTAATGAAATTCAGCTGCCTGATATGGTTGTGGAAATTTATATGCTATGCCTACAATCAGAATCCTAAACTGTCTTATTTTCCTTACAAGCTTTAAATCAAACATCTGGCATGTTAAAAAATATACAGGAAACCCAGGAAGAAATACTTTGCTGACACATGAAAACAAATTATATCAAACAAGGAAATGTTCAGTTAATTAGCAAGGATTGTAACCTTCTTCATCCTTCTGTTTTCCAGATGACCAAAAATTTTCAGAGCATGGTCAATGTCAGCATAGTGACTGAATTTCTTCTGGAAGGCTTTGCTGAGATGTGGGAGCTCAGGCTCCTGCTTTCCATGTTGCTCCTGATGATGTACCTGGCCACCCTGTTAGGAAATCTTATCATCATCACTGTCACTACCATTGACCAGAACCTTCACACACCCATGTACTTCTTTCTCAGAAATCTGTCCATCACAGACATATGTTACATTTCCATCACTGTCCCCAATGCCTGTGTCAATACTCTCACTGACAACAGGGCCATTTCTGTGGTGGGCTGTGCAACTCAGATCTTTCTGGTTGTTTTTTGTGCATGTGTGGAGATTCTGTTCCTCATCATCATGGCTCATGACCGCTATGTGGCCATCTGTCAGCCTCTCCATTACCCTGTTATCATGAGCCACCAGTTTTGTGTTATGTCTACACTGGTTTCTCTACTCTGTGGTCTCACATATGCAGCTCTTCACACTGGCAACACATTCAGGCTGTCTTTCTGTCAGTCTAATGTGGTCCACCAGTTTTTTTGTGATATCCCTTCTCTGCTGAAGCTGTCTTGCTCAGATACCTTTAGCAACAAACTACTCAATCTCCTTTGTGTCATGGGGATGGGTGGCAGTAGCTTTATCTTCATTGTCACATCATATGTTCGTATATTTTCAACTGTGTTGAAGTTCCCAGTCAAAGAAGAGCGTGGGAAAGCCTTTTCCACCTGTATACCACACATTATTGTGGTGTCTGTTTTCCTTATTTCTGGTTCAATTGTGTACCTAAGACCTCCAGTAAGATCTGAAATGTTCCAGGACATGATTTTGTCTGTACTTTACACAATAGTTCCACCCTTCTTAAATCCTGTCATTTACAGTCTAAGAAACAAACAGGTAAAGGAAGCTGCAGGGAAAGTAATATTAGGAATGATGTATTTAGGAAAATTATAACAATGTATTCTAGATTTATCTTGTGATGTCATTAAGATACAATTTTTAAATATTGTGTTTGGGTTCTGTGTGTGATGGTCTACTCTCCATCCCAATATCATTCTACTAAGTCCTGTGCAATCAACCTTATGATTATTTTCTTCTAAACTTTTCATTTGTCATCCAAAAACTAAATACATATGCTTAAAAATAATTATTTAATTGTGCATTATATGTCATCTAATATGACAATCTGACACATCATATAAAGTGTAATGGTAGAATTAAATAAATTAATATTTTTATTTGATAAACTAAAATATAATTTAAGGATTTAACCTTATTCAGATATGAATGGCTAAATATACTTATTTCAAATAAGTATTGATAAATATGCTTATGATTCACCCAATATTTAACTATTGACAACACAGATATTCAAAGATCAATCCCTAAACTTTATGGTCCTTTGTTAACTGCATAGAAATTATTATATACAACATTCACTGCAACTACATCTAGACAAAATGTGCATTAATCTACTCACATTATTCTCTTTTCTAATTATTCTTAAGATATAAATATTATACATCTACATATGTTCCCTAAATGTGGTTTATGAGCACATTACTGTTTCAGAAAAATTACTTATTTAAACTTAATTTAAATTCTATTCTGTGTGTGAAACATTTGTAGCAGGAACAATGGGAAGGAACCAGCTTCAAATACTGCTTGGTATCTGGCCCTGCTCATGATTGCTCCATTCTGCTAGTGATCACTCCTATTGCAGACAATGTATGATCACTGATTTGTTTTATAGCAAAGAGGGTTCCAAAACTATTTTGTACCACTTGCAATTATTGAGGAACCATCCTCAAAATGACATTTCAAGCAACAACTCCTTCTTATTGCTTCATACATATGAACAACTTATGATGTTTCTTTAAAAACCTGGGAATTGGCATTTAGCACAAACACCAACTTCAGAAAGCAGACTCTGTAAGTCAAGAGTCATCCCTAATTCAGGCATACCGCACTTATCCATGTATACCTAATTCTGGCCTAAATGTAGACCTTATCAAGGCTACATCAGGACCCTTAAGTCATCTTACTCATAAGGTCTGTTGCTTTGATGTAATGTATTCTACTTTCATTTTAATAAATTCCTCTTCATTTGTAACTATTCCTTTGTGTCTTGCTCAGTCTTTTGTGTGACTCACGAAAAGACCCAGATCCATCTCGTGGAAAAATGGCTTTCATTCCTGAAAACCACTATTCTCTCACATCATTAAAACTCCAAAGTACTTGACCTATATGTGTTATTACTTCCATAGTTGCATGAACCTTCAACCAGTCAAAAGTAACTCCAAAAATAACAAATGTTTGTCTCTCTTTTCTACACCACACTCATCCATCTAGATGCTCAAAAACAAGGATGTGAAATATTCATTGAGGGCAATGATAATAAAAACATTTGGAGAGATAAAATTTATAATCTATAGCTTTCATCTTAGATATTATTAGCTCATGGATTATTTGCTCTTTACAGGCCACAAAATTTGCCATGAGATAGGTACATGCAAGAGGATAGGGTGTGGTAGAAGGTACTTGCAAGAGGGTAAGAGAGAGGTAGAAGACTAAGGTGGAGAAGAATTCATTGTATATTCTACCATAGAATTCAGAAATTTAAGGGAAGAGGTCTGCTGAAGGGGGTGAAGATGTTGAAGTTATGATGATACAGATCAAGATGCATTGTACACATAAACTGCTTTGTTAAAAGGCAAATGAATATATAAACTAAAATTAAGTAAGGCAAGGCCTTGCTTTGGAGGGGTGGGTGAGAATATTGAAAAGGGTGACAGTGCTCAAGATGCACTATATCTAAACTGCTTCAATGTACAACTACTTATATCAAATAATCAAAAAAACATCTAAAAGTCTAAACTACTGAAATCACAATGATGTTTCCTTGTTCCCAGAATTCTGATGTATCTCAAGATTCTGTGCTCTACAGAAAACATGCTCTTTCTCAACAATGGCATTACGTTCCTCTTACTGAGGTCTAATGTTCTGGTTTACTTGATAATCTCTTGCTTATTCCTTTAATCACAGAGGAAAAGTTACCTGCACTCTTTTTCTAAACACCATTCTCTTTCTAAAATGGGCACAAAGTCTTTGCCACAGAGGAAAGTTGAAGGTGCTTATAGCTCAATTACATGTGGCAAGCTAAAGTCACAACTGTGATAGTGTGAGGAGGGATGCTGGGATGGAGAAATGCATAGTCAGGGTACACGGGACTGCTCAGCTCTGCTTGTCTTGCTCTGTTCACACAAACCCAGTTGGTCTCATTGCATGATATATTCTTGGAAGGCCTGAGAAAATGGGTGAATTAATTCTGAATCATATTTCATTTTCAACAGAAGATCTTCTGGCACAGTGCCTCTGGTGCCAATGAGCATCCAACTGGGAGGACACAGAGTCATTAGGGGAACCAATGTAATACCTTTCTTTGTTGGCAACTTTGTATATAAAAATACAGACAAGAATTCAACTAAACAAATTTACTTGATCAACGGGTTACTTTCGAAGGTGTTTTTGAAAAGAATAGTTATGTATAGGTAAAATTATGTACATAATATTGTTATTCACAATTTATGTGCAATATGAATAATGAATGTTTTCATTGTTCTTATCCGTATTCTGAAATTTAGAACATTACATCCTAAGACAAAAACGTTGTATATATTTTTATTTCAGTTTTGTAGAATATCTAAAAATAAATGGGAAAAGCTTGGCAAAGAATCACTAATGTTGGTATATATTTTTAATTTGTATATTGAAATTTTACACACTAATATAAAAATTAAATGCATTAAAACTTTTAATAGTTTATCCCTATTAAAGTTACACTAAAAATATTTTTTTCTTTTCTCATACTGTGGACATATTGTCAGGTAGGATGAATTATATTTTCCTTGTAATAAATATGACAATATTAAAATAAAGGAAAATGGTAATAATTTGTCAAAATTTGAGATCATGAATTTCAGTTATTCTTTACATAACAAAGGTAAGTTTCACAATTGCTAATAACACTGGTAATATCATTTCAGAAATAGCCCTCCAAACAAAAAATTCATTGGATATAAAAACTACCTAAAGTTGGACCTAAATATTTGTACTTCTAATATCATTTCAGAAATAGCCCTCCAAACAAAAAATTCATTGGATATAAAAACTACCTAAAGTTGGACCTAAATATTTGTACTTCTAAGTCTGTGTCTGATAACAATACTCATCAGAAATCTTGTTCCATTATGCAATATAATTAATTTGATTCCATACTAATTAGGTAATTGTTTCAGTTCAGATATATAGAATACTTACATAAGTAATAGTTAAAACAGCACCTGTCAGTAAAGGGAAGATTAGAACTTAGTAAATTCAAGAAAAAGAATATTATGCATTCCTTCTTATGATACTGCAATAGATTAATGGATGTTCTAATAACCAGAACAACTGTGATATTCAAACAGGAATGTACACCTTGTTAGATCAACAATAATGCTCACCCAAGTGTTCTTCCTATGTGAGAAAATTTCCTTTACCAGTCTCATTCTTGTCATTCAATTCACAGTATTTCAAAGAATGGAATCCTGAAATTAGGTATAGTGATAATTCATTAGATAACTGTATTCCCTTTGCTTATATGCATCTAATATAAAACTCTTTATGTCATTTTAACTCTATTCATTTCTTAAGCAGTTTGCTTTTTTTCTATGCTTACATTTCACTTTTTTTCATTAGCATAAAATATATTACAAGCCTTTATTATTAGGTACTGTATAAGACATGTGTCCTAATTTTTATTTTTGAAAACTAGTTTTTCTGAACAATTGGTGTAGACAGTGTTAAGAAATATGATGACTCCTCTCACACTCTATTTATTCTTTCAAAAATATCTCCTTCACTTGAAACCTTGGTAAGCATACCAGGGACTCAGTATTAACTTTAATGAGATGAAAAAGGTAGCTTATTATCACTAAATTCTACAGTTGTTTCAGACAAATTTTATAAACAATCACTTAACTTTTACTCTATACCTATAGTATAATAATGTGGGGAATAATAAAGAAAGGAAAATCTTGAAATCATTTATTATATCTCTTCAGCTATGAAACATTTATCAGGAATTAAAGCAGATTGCCAGTATCATTAATAAGTAATTCTTTATCAAATTCAAAAATCTTTTACTACTTTTAGCTTATTCTAGAAAAGTCATAGAAAATATTCATTAATGGAAAAGTTATATATTAAGCTTATTTCATGAAATTATTGGTTTCAATTAATCACAGACTGCTCTTAATGACTCACAAAAATTACATGGATTCAAAAATATAATGTGCAAGATGTGATATCCTAGCTTATTTCATAGAAATTTCCTTGAAATATCCTTAGAATTAATCAATATTACCAAGGAAAAAATTCAAACTCTAAATGAAACAATGATAATTTTCCCTGTATTCTCACAGACAAGAATCAAAATGATGGAGACTTTAACCAATATGACCACCATAACTGAATTCTTGCTCATGGGATTCCCAGATGACCAAGTACTGCAGAGACTGTGTGTCACCCTCTTCTTCCTTATTTACTTGGTTGCATTGATAGGGAACCTTCTCATCATCGCCCTCACCTCCATAGACCAGCGTCTCCAGTCCCCCATGTACTTTTTCTTGAAGAACTTATCCTTGATTGACATCTGCTATATCTCAGTCACTGTCCCTAAATTTATTATAAACTCTCTATCAAATACTCATTCAATTTCCTTTGGGGGATGTGTCTTACAAGTCTTCCTTGTTATATTTTTGGCGGGTACTGAGTTTGCCCTTCTCCTAGTGATGTCCTATGACCGCTTTGCTGCCATTTGTCATCCCCTGCACTATGAGGTCACCATGAACAGAGGCACCTGTATGCAAATGCTGAAGGCTGCATGGCTCAGTGGGTGTCTATATGGATCCCTTCATACTGCAGGTACTTTCTCTGCCCACTTCTGTGGTCCCAATATAGTGCATCAGTTTTTTTGTGATATTCCTTCATTACTTATGCTTTCTTGTCCTGGGGAGCAAATTCTAGAATATATATTCATCATTGTTAGCTGTTTCTTTGCTTTCATATGCTTTGTTTTAATGATTGTTTCCTATATCCACATTTTTGCCATCATTCTAAGAATTCCTTCTGCCCAAGGCAGACTCAAAACCTTCTCCACCTGCATGCCCCATCTCACTGTGGTAACCTTGTTTCTTTCTTCTGGGTTTATTTCATATTTAGGTTCAACATCTCCATCTTCATCATCACTGAACCTCTTCATTTCTGTCTTCTATTCTTTGTTACCTCCCAGCCTGAATCCTGTCATTTACAGTCTGAGAAACCGAGACATGAAAGTGGCTCTGGGCAATATTTTGGGGGGAAAATGTATAGCAAATAAATGACATTGCTACTTAAGATAGTATGTCAAAACTAGGGTTATAGGAATTATTAAAATTATCAGATGCCTGCTACACCATTTTGTTGCTGATGAACAAAATGAAACATTTTATTTTTGTGAAAGTAAATATAAGCAAGGTCTTGAAAATTTTCACTCTAATAAAAATCCTATACTTTTTAAATGTATCTCACTTCAATTTTAGAACAGTATATTTAATTTTATAGTCAAGTTGACTAAGAGCAGACGCAATTTGTTCAATAGTTGTAGTACAACTTGAATTTTCTCTTTCTTTCCAATTTTGGTAAGTCATGTAATTTTTGGTGAGGAAGAGACAATACCATTTAATATTAATATTATAATGCATCAACATATTTTTTATTTTCCTTAAATAGTTGTACCAGGCAGTTGCCATCCAAAAAATGACCAGCATAACTTTTATAATATCCTCTTCTGTATTTTCCAGCTTGTATTGCTTCCTTATCTTTAGTCCCAGCACTGCTGTTCACAATTTTATTTTAAAGGCTGGTTGGCTTTCAATAATTATAAGAATGGCATTTTCAAGAAATATTTGGCTTTGTTTATTCTATAGATAGTGTGTTTGTTTCCCTATTTATTATCATTATTCTCATTGTTTTAGTATTTAGCTTGGATTATTCTTAAGTCATGAATACTTAAAATAGTCTTGATATGTTTTAAGTCAGTAATTATCTGGGCCCAATAATTTAGTATGTTTCCTATCACTTCAGATCAATACATGGTATTTTTGTGGTATCTTTTTTATCATTTATAGAAAACGTGCTTCGATTCTACATGATATATATGTACATACATGATACGTGTATAAATACACAAATGCATATATATAAATGCATGCAAGTATGATGTCTTTATTATTTGGGCTTCCCTAAATTGTGCAAAATATTCCACTTTTGGGCATTTACCCAAACAATCACAAACAGGGCTATACTAAAGCTGCCAGCACAACTATATTTATTGCAGCATTATTTACCATAGCTAAGATATGGAACCAACCCAGAAGTCTCTCAGTAGATGAATGGATCAAGAAAATGTGACACACACACACACACACACACACACACACACACACACACACACACCCTGGAATTCTATGCCTCCATGACAAAGAATTCACATCACCCCATTTGTTAGGAAATGGAAAGACTTGGAAAAAATTATATTGAATGAAGGACGTTAGACCCAAAGAAATGTAAGTCCGATGGTTTGACTTATTTGCAATAACTAGTACATGTGTAGGACAAGCAGAAAAGATCAAAAGCTATGTACATATGACCATATAAGATGATGTTAAGCAAAATGAACCCCAAGACAGGAACACAAGTGTTTTAATTTCTTTCTTGCTATTGTTTATAAACCATTTTGATTCTGGTGCCATGCATCTTGTATATACAGTTTTCTAATTTGGGGAGGGGAAGGGGAAAAACAAAATGCTTAAAAAAGGGATACAGGTTGATCCATTGTAATAATGAGCTGTACAAGACACTATGTTATAACTTTGCCAAGGGTTGGGGGAGGGAGGAGTGGGAGGAGAAGTTGGGGAGGTGGGAAGGAAGAGATGATAGGGCAAAAAAAAAGGAGGAGGCAACAATGTTCCATAGGAAATGTACTCATTACCTTAGTCTAACTGTAACCCCTCTGTACAGTATTTTTACAATAAAAAAATATTAAAAAAGAAAGAACAGAAAAACAGCATAAAGGAAGTGATAGTAGAAAGAAGCAAAGGAGGGTATAACAATGTTGGACAAGAAATGTACTCATTACTCACGTAATTGTAACCCCTCTGTACAGCATCTTTACAATAAAATACAATTTTAAAGAAGAAAAACATGAAAACAAAATATGGTGTGTTTTAAATTACAATACAAGATAAATAGTTTAAAAAGTAAATAATCTTTAGTTTGGGGCAATGATGCTAATACATTTCCTGGAGAATCTATCATTCCACACTTTTAGCCTTTCTCCATAAGTTAAGATTTTTCTTTACTTATTCTCTCAAAATTGAGAGGCATATTCCTTTCTGCATCAAGAAGATAACTTGTTTCAACTTTGTAGCATAAATCTTCACTTGTTCACTGTTGACCTAAGTGTTAGTTACATTTTGAAATAACAAAAGAGTAGAGGGTAATAAGATTTATTTTTATTAGTAGAAAAGTAAATTATTCCAGGTGTTCCTTAGAATAGGATGAAGATTACTCAGAAAAGTATAAGTAGAACCTCAGTAATATGCACCTCTTCACTTTTTGGTGTATATCCAAGGAAAATGATGTTGATGCATCAAAGTGAAGCCTGCATATCACATCTACAGTAGCGCTCTACTTAACTTAGTAACCAGCAATAATTTAATGGATAAAAATATGGAGTTTGATTGTGTCATTCAAAGAATGGCATCCAAACATTCTACAAAAAATAGGTGAGACTAGAGAACAGTTGTTGTGTTTAGTGAAATAAGCCAAAGAAAGAGAGAAAGCCAAGCACCAGTGGCTCACATCTGAAATCCTAGCTACTTAGGAGGCTGAGATCAGAGGATTGTGGTTTGAAGTCAGCCTGGCAGAAAAGTCCCCATGAGAGTCTTCTCTCCAATTAACCACTCAACAACCAGAAATGAAGCAGTGGCTCAAAGTGGCAGAGTACTAGCAAAGATCTCAAGGACAGCCTTGAAAGCCCCAGGAGTGAAGAAAACAATAAAATAAAAAAATATAAAAGAAAGGGAACACTTTTCTCTACCATTCCTTTCTCTTTCTTTCTTTTTCTTTTCTTTCGTTCTTTCTTTTTTTTGTTGTTGTTGTTGTTTGTCATGGGGCCTGAACTCTGGACCTGGGCACTGTCCCTCATCTCTTCAGCTCAAGGCTAGTGCTCTATCACTTGAGCCATCGCACCGTATCCAGCTTTTTCTGCTTATATGGTGCTGAGGAATCGAACCCAGGGCCTCAGGCATGCAAGGCAAGCGCTCTACCACTGAGCCAACTTCCCAGCCTCATTCCAAATTTTAATATCTATCCAAATGTATTTCTATGATGACTTGGAGTTGGAAAGCATGTTGGCCAGCTGTCCATAGTACAGGAGCTTGAAACCTAGATATAAAAATATAGTTTTATAGTAAAAAATTTGATAGAATAAGGATGTGAGTATAGCTTATGATACTCTAATACACACATATACTATATATGCATATATGTATATATATGAAACCTCCAAAGACAAAATAATGATAAATGGAAATCTCAGTTACCTTGATTTGACAAATACATACTACATATACATACTGCACATACATAGTGAAATTAACCATACTTTATGTGGTCCATATATAGGTACTACATATATAAGAACATTTAAATCCACAGATACATATTTTTTATCATATATCCAATAATAAATATTTAGGAGATGGAAATGTTAAATATCTTGACATTTTCATTATATACTGAAAGATTATAATTATTGTGTGGTATTCCATAATTTTGTATAGTATAAATAATTAAAATGATTAAATGCTTCCATTGTTTAAAATCGCATTTATATTTCTTTCAGTTAGTGAATAAATTGGGAACTTTGATACATTTAAATTAATTTTAGGAGACATTTTGCAGAATCATATTGCCCTACTAATATTGTTTGTTTGTTCTGTTGAACTTTGTTTTTATCTCAATGAGAATTAGTGCTCTATATCATTTGTGTGACGGTATGTGTTTATATTCAATGTTTAAATTTGTTTCATTGCAAATCATACATATGAGGATTTTTTGGGGCTGTGGAGGGTCCAGTCGTGGGGCCTGAACTCTGGGCCTGGGCGCTGTCCCTCAGCTCTTCAGCTCAAGGCTAGCACTCTACCACTTGAGCTACAGCGCCACTTCCGGCTTTTATTCTTTTTGTTTATGTGGTGGTGAGGAATCAAACCCAGGGCCTCATGCATGCAAGGCAAGTGCTCTACCACTGAGCCACCTTCCTAGCCCCCATTTGAGGATTTATGACAGTGTTGACTTGTGATTAAGGAAAATCTTCAGCTCAACCTCCAATAAAATAGTTAACTGGGCTGGGAAGATGGCTCAGTGGTAGAGCACTTGCCTTGCATGCATGAGGCCCTGGGTTCGATTCCTCAGCACCACATAAGCAAAAAGAAAAAAAAAAGCCGGAAGTGGCGCTGTGGCTCAAGTGGCAGAGCGCTAGCCTTGAGCTGAAGAGCTGAAGGACAGCGCCCAGGCCCAGAGTTCAGGCGCCACAACTGGACCCAAAAAAAATAATAATAATAAAATAGTTAACTACAAAAGTATATTTTCAATGAGCTCTCAGTAATGACATCTGTTCCATTCTTTTTAGAATTTTTTTAAATTTATTTATACTTGCTATTTCAATAAGTTTAAGTACTTAAGATGAATGCTAAATTTTATAGAGAGGGATTTTTTATTTCATTACAATGATAATTTTCTCTTAAAATATTTTATCTTCTTTTTTGGGGTTCCAGTTGTGGGGCCTGAACTCTGGGCCTGGGCGTTGTCCCTCAGCTCTTCAGCTCAAGGCTAGTGCTCTACCACTTGAGCCACAGCACCACTTCGGGCTTTTTTTCTTTTTACTTATGTGGTGCTGAGGAATCAAACACGGGGCCTCATGCATGCAAGGCAAGGGCACTACCACTAAGCCACCTTCTCAACCCAAAAATATTTTATGTTATAGAATTGTATTACCCACCTGTTCTAATGCTAAGCAATCTTTTATATAATTTATAATTATGTTAGGGTTTATTATTCAAATTTTGAAGAACATGACTTCATTCTGTACTGTAAGATACTTTTCTATTTGGTTTCATATTGTGTTTACAAGAAAATATTCTTCAGGTCATTTACAGCTTTACATACTTATTTTTACTTAATTTTAATGTATTTTTTAATTTTAAAGTTAATCTGGAAGTGGCACTGTGGCTCAGGCGGTACAGCGCTTGCCTTGAGCTGAAGGGCACAAGGACAGTGCCCAAGCCCAGAGTTCAAGCCCCACGACTGACCAAAAAATAAATAAAAAAAATACAGTTAATCTGACTAAACTTCTTGGAATTAGTTATGCACTAGATAGCTGTTGTTATGATGATCAAATTTAAGCTATTTCAGATCTTTATAATGATAGACAAAATTTCAATTATAGTTCTTTATAATTAAAAGTCATACATTCATGATCTTTTTCTTTACATATGAAGTGAAAGAAAGTAACTATAGATACACCTTCATATTGTGAGATTCTTAGATTACAATGGTAATATTCTAATCTAAATAATAATCTACACGATATGATTCTTTAATTAAAGTAGTTAAAACACTTAAGAGATACAAATGAGCTCCTACTTTGTCACAGAATTTAGAACACGCGAATGGATTACAGTAATGTACTGGGCACCCTTTGATGAGTCTCCAGTCAGAAGTCAAGTAAAACTTTCTGGGGCCCTAGAGAAAAACAAAAACAAAAAACCCCACCGCAGTAGCAAAGATGACAGGCATGCAGGTCAGGCCTGGCTGCACTCACTGCACTCACTCTTGGTAGTGAATGAGGCTCCATAAAGAACGTGCATCATGGCCCCCATGAGAACTGTTTGTTCTCATTCCTTTGTGTTCCCAAACGGTGATGCAAAATGAACTAAAAATTATGTCACACCAATTAAAAAGGGACAGCATAACACTCGCTCATATTCCCCCTCATGCCATGGATTGTAGAAGAGCTCTAACATTAGCACCTTGAATCGTATCAGGTGAGTCTGAATACAACAACTGCATATGATGGTTGAAAAGCCAGTGGGAAAAGGAGTCTTGATCAATGCATAAAAAAGTACATGCAAAAAAACAAAAACGTTTTTCTGTGTGTACAAACTGTCAATCAAAGATCTGGTCTATATAAAATCTAAATGTCTTTTGAAGTGTTTCCTTTAGTTAATACAAGATTTTTAAATTAATTTTATACATTATAGTTAATAGGTATGGGGTATAGCTAGATAATTTCATGCAGTGGACATATGAAATAACCAATTTTCTTGGAACATGAATCTTTGTGTTAGGAATTTTTCAAACCCCTTTCCATTTCCCCCATGTTCTCCTAAGACTCAATACCATATTGTGAAATTTGTCTACCTTTAATATATAAAAGCTCATCAAGGTGACTTTAGGAATGATGGTGTGCATTGTTTTAATATAACACAGAGGTAAATTAAATCATATTGACAAAGAAAAGAAAAACTCATTAAATATCCCTATCATTTGCATATAGAATAATTTCATAACTAAATAAAGTGGAAACAAATGAAAGTGACATACTTTTGTGTTATTTATGTGCATGAAGATAATTTTTTAAAACCTGACTTAACTTCATTTACCACACATAATATGTCAATGCTTTTCGTATTTCTGAATGGATTTGCTATGGGTTTTGAAAGTACTGAAACACAATAGCTCAAGAAAATGCTTTGTATAGGAACTAAATTCCATAAATATTATAATGTATATGAAACAATGAGCCTTTTTTTAGAGATAGAAGTATCTTGGAAATCATAGAATCTAAGCTTTTCACTTCATTAGACTCAAGAATGAAAGAAAATCTCTTACTCTTAGAAAACATTAATGTTTCAGAAAGATAGTATTAAATTTCATTGCAGTTGCAACATTTAGGTTCCATATTTGCCTTTAACCATTTCATGTGGATTTATTTCTTAAGATTTTCAGTATTTGTCACACATAAGGCATTGGAGGAAGCAAAATCAGGCCTTGGCCTTCTTGAAATGTAGCTATTCAAGGCAAAGATCAGGAAGAGGTAAGTTCAAGAAATGCACAAGAAAAAAATGGACCCCTCCATCTCAACAAATAATCTGGGCATGGAGTCACACTAGAAATCTTCAATAAGCAAGAAGTTTGGGTAAGAAGCTGCATCTTGGACAAAATGTAAAACCCTTTCCAAAAAAACGATGAAGTGTAAAATAAAGGAGGCTGAAAGTGTGGCTCAAGTAGTAAAATAACTACCTAGCAAGAAGACCGTAAGTTCTATCTGCATTCCTGGCAAAGACAGAAAGAAAAAGAAAAGGATTATTTGAAATTTTTTACAGTATCACCACCCTTAATTTCCAGGTAGAAATAATTCCTAAATATAAGCCCATGGAAAATATAATTGAAGATACCATAAAGATCCTGAAAACAAAATTAAATCTTATTTGGATTTAATATATATTAATACATATACATTACAGTTGGAGAAATATCTATAGGGGTATGTACTATTAGAAATGGGAGGGCCAACAGAGAAGGTGAATGAGGGTACATACAAGTATGTTAAACACATGTGTTCTTTTGAAAATTGTAAGAAGGAAAGATAATGGATGGGGAATTTGATGAGTTCATTCTATGTATGAATGGAAGAGACTCTCCTTTACAGCAAATACATGCTATAAACACTTTTTTAAAGTGTTATAATTTATATCAACTTCTGCAGGAATGTAAAGATTTCATCCTCAAAACAGCCTGACCCAGGGATTATCCCTACTCACTCTGCTTGCAAAGAAAAGAGAGTTTTCAGCTTCAGGAAAATCAACTATCATCAGGGTCAATTTTCTTAGTCCTTAGATAAGTGAGAAGGTTCAATCAATAGTCCTGGTGCTTTAGGTTGGAAAAGAGAAACTTATTGACATTCACCTGTATGCCATACTTGAAATTTAGAACTCATGAAGCTCTGTTTTCTCACCTAGAAACTGAGAAGATTTGACAAGTTGGAAAGCTATCAGTTGAGGTAATTAGTAAATTGTCACTTGGGGATTTTTTAAAGAAAATAAATGGCCTATGGAAAAATATTCAATTGCAACTATAATTGTCCTGCTTTCCCCTAAATACATTTTTCATACAGGTAACTTTCTGAAACACTGAAGTGTTCATTTATATTGAAAGATAAATGTCTACTCTAAGACACTGCTCACCATCACCAAGATTCTTTTTACTAGAACTACATTTATTAGCACCTGTGTTTATTTATAATATATACATCCATCTTTATTCTAATAAAACTGGATGTATTATGGTTTATCTGTATTGGTATGTGTATATTAAAGAGAGATAGCATGTACATTAGAACATTTACAACATTTACAAAAGCGCTCTGTTGGGAATGGTTAATATGATTTAAAATTTCAGCCTATTTCATAAGTTTTTCATTAGTCAAAAATAATATTAAAGGGTTGGGAAAGTGGCTCAGTGGTAGAGCACTTGCCTTGCATGCATGAGGCACTGGGTCCATTCCTCAACACCACATAAGCAAAAAGAAAAAAAGCCAGAAGTGGCGCTGTGGCTCAAGTGGTAGAGTGCTAGCCTTGAGCTGAAGAGCTGAACGATAGTGCCCAGGCCTAGAGTTCAGGCCCCATGACCAGACCCTCCCAAAAAAACCAAAAAAACAATATTAACACTAAAATAGTATATTCAAATGATTATGTCTGCATATGTGTGTATATGCATATATATATATATATATATATATATATATATATACATACGCGTATGGAATAGAGAATGAGATATCTTTTTCACTTTTCACCCTTAGCATTTTAATGCATTTGTATGTAAAATATGAAATGTTTTTCATTCATTTTTACATAGTTTTAAAACTTACCTTTACATAGTTATATAAGGAAGTTTATGAATACTTGATCAGAGAAGGGAGGGATCAATGTGAGTGAGAACACTGATAGGGGTAGCATTGCTCAAGAAAATAACTTTATTCTCTATAAAATTATTGGTAAGTGTTAAATACAGGACTAAGTGTACAGTTGTTTTACTAATGATAAATGAATGATACAGGAGAAACCTGATGAAGAAACATAAAACTATGTCAAATCCAATGTAAGATAATTTTTCAAATACTCTAATTGGCACATTCAACATTGGTTATTCTAACACATGTAGAAATGGGACCTTCATATTTTTAAAATGTTGCATATATTTTTAAAAGTATGGAAGTGTTATAAACACTATGTGCCTGGACTATTGCAGAAATGAAAATGTTCTGCTAGAGAGGAGGAATGTCATCAGCCTAATGCTGTGATCTTTCTTCCTTTGCAGTGACTATCATGTTCAACTATTCAGTGGAAGTGAACTTCCTTCTCATGCAATTCTCTGACAGTAAGCAGCTCCAGATCGTCCATGGTTTTCTGTTCCTGCTTATCTACTTGGAGGCTCTCATGGGGAATCTCCTCATCTTCATCCTTGTCACAGTGCACCCGTGTCTTCACACCCCCATGTACTTCTTCCTGAAGAACCTGGCCTTCTTGGATGCGGGCCTCATTTCAGTCACAGTCCCTAACCTTATTCTGAACTCTTTGACCCACAGGAGCCTCATCTCTTTCCCAGGGTGTGTGTGTCAGGTCTGGTTGGTAATTCACTTTGTTGGGTCTGAGCTTTTCCTACTGACCGCTATGTCTTATGACCGCTACGTGGCCATCTGTCACCCACTACGCTATGATGTCATCATGAATAAGGGGATTTGTGTGCAGATGGTAGCCACTTCTTGGATATTTGGGAGTATCTTTGGAGCGCTGTACTCAGCTGGGACCTTTTCTTTATCTTTCTGTGGCTCCAGAAAAGTCCCACAGTTTTTCTGTGATGTCCCCTCTTTACTGAAGATTTCTTGCTCTAAGAAGCATGTTACAATTGACGTTAGTGTGACCATTGGGGTTATATGGGGGCTTTTCTGCTTGGTGTGCATTGGGATTTCATATGCTTACATCTTCAGTACAGTGCTGAGAAAGCCATCATTACCAGGTCGGTCCAAAGCCTTCTCCACCTGTGTGCCTCATCTCATAGTTGTCACCACATTTTTGGTGACAGGTGCCACCGCCTATTTGAAGCCAGTCCCTGATTCTCCACATCTTATAGATTTTTTAGTGTCTGTTTTCTACTCTGTGATGCCTCCATCTTTCAACCCTATAATATACAGTCTGAGAAACAAAGAAATCAAAGCTTCTCTGTGGAAGCTTCTGTGGAAACTACATCACTATAAGTGTTATGAGTGAAACAAGATTTTACTATCTGGAAAGGCTGAATGACATGTATTTGTGGGCATTGCTTATACTTGAGTAGGTTTTGTGGTGTGATGTAGATTGTATATTGTTATTTTAAACAAATGCTTTATTTTAAAAATGTAGAATGAGATTCAGATATGCACCATTATGAAACAATTATCTCAGGACCTACCAGATTGTCATGAGTAGTCCATATAATTCAGACTTCAGGGGCCATATGGAAGATGCTCATGCAAGAATGTTTTCCAAATTCTTGGAGCCTAGGAATATATTGCTTCACATTCAAAGGAAACTTACAGATGTAATTAGAATGAAGTGGTTGTGACTGGTACATTATCCAGCAAGTCAGAATACATAGAAGACTTTGCTCAGAGTGAGAGATGTATCTCTAAGAGGGTGGACTTACACTGCTGGCATTGAAGTGTGATCATTGTCATAAGGAACAGAGGAAGGATAATCTCTAGGTCTAAAAGAGGTAAGACATAGTCTCCACTAGAATCCTCTGAAAGGCAATCCTGCCAGCTGTCCAGGACTTAAAACATATTGTGTGCTATATTCAAAATTAGAGAACGGGAAAGTAATGTACGTTTAAGACAGAGTAGATTATGGCAATAGCAGCATAGACAATTACATAAAAAGCTTAGATTATAAGTTATTTTTAGTGTCTGTTTTCTACTCTATGATGCCTCCATCTTAGGACCTTATAAAATACAATCTGAGAAACAAAGAAATCAAAGCTTCTCTGTGGAAGCTTCTGTGGAAACTACATTACTATAAGTGTTATGAGTGAAGCAATATTTTACAATCTGGAAAGGCTGAATGACATGTGGGTGGGCACATGCAGAAAATTAAAAGTGGACCCCAGCCTGTCACTGTGCAACTAACATCAACTCAAAATGGATTAAAGACCTAAACATCAAACCTGAATCTAAAACTACTGCAGGACAGAGTAGGAGAGACACTTGAACTTATAAGCACAGGAAGGAACTTCCTTAACAGAGTTCCAGGGTCACAACAAATTGGAGAGAGACTCGACCAATGGGACTACCTTTAAAAAAAAGTTTCTGCATAGCTAAAATTATAGCAACCAAGCTAGAAATACAATCACCTAACTGGGAAAAATATTTACCAGCAAAATATCAGACAAGGGGTTAATATCCAGTATATACAGAGCACTCAAGAAACTAATCCCTCCCAAACCTAACAAACCAATTACTAAATGGGCGAAGGAACTAAAGAGAGACTTCTTAGAAGGAGAGATAAAAATGGCAAGTGATCCAGCCATACCACTTCTAGGCATCTATGCTGAACAACAAGAGCTAGTATACAAGAACACATGCACTTCGATGCTTATTGCAGCACTGTTCACAATAGCTAGGATATAGAAACAACCCAGATGTCCCACCACGAATGAATGGATCCAAAAATTGTGGTATCTATACACAATGGAATATTATGCAGCCATTAGAAAGGACAAAATAATGGCATTTGCAGGGAAATGGATGGAGCTAGAAGAAATCATGTTGAGCGAGGTAAGCCAAGTACAAAGAGACCAACAGCACATAGTCTCCCTGATAAGTGGATGTTAAATCGAAAACGTAAGATGATACAACAAAATTAACAAGGCTTAAGAAACAAAATATTTCCACTCATCTGGTCAAATCACTACTAAATAACCCCATGCTGATGATCACATGTATGGTATATATGTGCACACCAGTGGGAAACCAGGAGGACGACACAGAACTAGAGGGAATCAGGGAAAAACATACAACAGCAGAACCCATCAGCTGCACAAGACATTGACCAAAATGAACTAAGTAACTCAATGGCAGCGATGGGAGGGAGGGAACAAGTGGGAAAGAGGGAACAGCTGATGTTATGCAAAACAAAAGAAATGTATATATCACCCAATGTGGAAGAAATAACTATATTGTCAAAGCTCATACAACTCATAAATGTTACAGACCACAATAAAAAAAACATAGTTATAATGAAAGAATAAAAACTACTTTTCAAGAAAACAGAACTCTAAATTAAGGAGGAATATCTCTCTTTATAGCTTGATGTAGACTTCAAATCAAATTTTTTTTACATAGGGAAAAAAGTCAATTTTAACTGACAAAGAAACATTCCTTCTGACATTTATAAGCATACACCAAACACAGATGGATCCAATCTCATAAAGTAAGTACATAAATAGATCCCAACATGAAAATAGTGGGTGACTTTAACTAAGAATCCTTACTCACCAAGAGATACACCACTTGGGACAAAAATTTAACAAGGAAACCTCACAAATAATACTATAGATGAAATAAAGTTAATCATTATCCACAGAATATTTAACCCAAATACATTCCAGGGTAAAATTCTCTAAAATAGATTATATCTTAGGACACAAATCATATCTTTATACAATGAAACTGATAATAATTTCCTGGATTTTATGAGAGCATAATGGAATAAAACAAATCCAAAAAATAGACTTTACATGAACAAATACAGACTAAAATTTTCAATGGTAAATTATCAGTAAGTCACTGAAAAAAAGAAACTAAAATAATTATAAAATCAATTTAAAATGATAGCTTACGTTAACAAAACCATCTGAATACAACAGAATCAGTGTTAAAATCAGTGAGAGGAAATATAACTTATCCCTAAAAAATCAGAAACTCCAAATGATGTAACTCAAGCATGTAGAAAAATAAGAGTAAGCCAAACCTAATATAGTAGATAAGAAAAAAAAGGACTGAAATTTTGAAATGAAAACTAAAGGAATATGTTTTTAATTGAGACAAAAGGTTGGTTCTTTGAGAAGAACCAACAGATTGACATACCTTTATATAAAGCAAAGGAAGGGGGCTGGGAAGGTGGCTCAGTGGTAGAGCGCTTGCCTTGCATGCATGAGGCCCTGGGTTCGATTCCTCAGCACCACATAAGTAGAAAAAAAAGCTGGAAGTGGCGCTGTGGCTCAAGTGGTAGAGCACTAGCCTTGAGCTGAAGAGCTGAGGGACAATGCCCAGGCCCAGAGTTCAACAACCAGACCAAATAAAAAAAAAAAATTAAAGCAAAGGAAGATAGATAATCGAGTTAATAAAATTAAAGGTTGTTTTTTAAAAAATGATCTCTCTTGTGTAGCCATATTTGTCTTTGCAGACAAATTAAAATATTGAAAAATTTTTAAAGTTGGAGGAAGACATTGCAAATACAAGATATCTTGGACTAAGAAGGTGAAAGAAAATTCATATGTAACCTAAACTCAGGAAACCTCGGATAATAAAATGCAAAGACTAAAATGAGATACACATGGGAGGCAGATTCAGCCTCTGTCCTTAGGCATCATAGTGGGTATACCTAACGTCACCAATTCTAGCTGGTGACCTGAGATGCTATCACTGTTCTAAGGGGAACATGCAGACACACCGAGAGTTTCATCAAAGTGAGCTCCATATTTGCTCATAAAACTGGCTTCATCCATTAGAATTTTCCTACTCTAGCTTCCACTTAAATTTTTCTTTGGTTAGTCACGAAACAAATGAAAAACAGTTCACAGTGTACCCACTGCACATATCCTCACTGATTTATTTCCAGGAAATTGAAAAAACCCAAAAGGTGTGAATTTTATACTCTTATGTGGAAAGTGCTTTACTAGATTCAAATACATGCTGTCTGTTTTGGTTAAAATTATGGTGTCAGGACCATAGGCTTTGGAAATTATCACTTGCTTTTACTTCTTTTAGTAACTTCCAAATTGTGCATATATCTATCTCTCTATATTTCCATTTCCCGATTTCCTAATCAGTCAAAATAACCTTTATCATTTATCATTTAAACCATTTCTCACTCCTTCTACAATATGAGTATAAAATAATTCATAATGAGAAGAGCTATTTGGGAGTTGATAGACGAGAAACAGCTGTAAAGTTCTTAGAGGACTTATTCTGTGTTGTCAGTCATGAATAGACATGACAAAATCCCCCACAGGGAGGAAAAACACTTTTGTGTATATTCCTTCTGGATGGTCATTACACAATACAAATAGAATATGAGTGATACATGTTATAATAGGTGAAATTCAGTGACAGAAGAGAGACAGCTGACTTCAGAGGAGAGATCCCAGGCCTAAAGACAAAAACCAATGCATTCTTTGGCTCATCAATTAGCTTTCTGGAAACTACAATTAATTTTCAAGAGGAAGTCACCCAATACACACTTGAGTGTTCTTGGGCAGAGACCTAAAATTTTTGGACTTTTATCATAGGTTCGTTCAAATAAAGAGTTTCTATAGTAAGAAATATATTTCCTTTTAAAACGTTTTTTATTCTATTAAGTATTGTTTAAAAATTGCTCATGTATTTGAGAACATAGATTGTTATTAGCTTTTAGCTAGTATATATTTAATAAATATTATGAATAAATAAAAAAAGAAATAAGTGAAATTATTTCTGGTAACAGAGTTTAACCAACTGTACCTAAAATATCATTTAAACTTGTAATAACTATAAAATTATGAATATAACTATTTAGTTTATGTCAAACATAAAATCTACATGATTAAGTCTTCCCCGCAATGAGGTGTCTTCCCTCAATATTAAGAGAAATGAAAATCAGATTGAGAATGAGGAAAGGAGCAGAGCTTCCTGCCCAGGGCACTCAGCGCCCTGAGGCCCCGAGTGGAAGGGTGGCTGGGTGGGGGCAGGGCACTCCAGGCTTTGATGGTCAGACACAGGCCCTTGGCGATGACTGGTTGGCCTGTCCAAGTGCTGGCTCCACCTTGCCTGGCCTAGGCGAAGCCCCAGGCTGCCAAAGTCAGGGGTAACTTGAGTGGTGCCTGGCATAAGCGAAACAAGGCGAGAATCGCAGAGGCTTTCAAGGGATGGAGGACAGAGACGGCCCAGAGGTCTTAGTAGCTCTCCAGCTTTCTAGACGGTGGAGCCCGCCAATCTGGAGGTTGGGGTGACTTCCCAGACGTGGAGATTTCACCC